CGGCGGATGAGGCGCGGGAAGAGCCGGGCGCGGGGGAAGGGGAAACTGTGGTGTTGGGGCAGGGCCGGGAGCGAGGGGATACGGGAAGGTGAAGGGAGAGCGGTGGGAGCGGCGAGCTGGAGGGTCTGTGACGGGGCGGCGGTGCGTGAGGCGCCCCGTGCTGTGCGGAGGGGCTCCGCTGCACCTCCTCCGCCCGAGCGCTGCCCTCGGGTACGGCGCCATGTCCGCCTCCAGGCTCTTCACCCTCGTGCTGGTGGTGCAGCCGCCCCGCGTCCTCCTGGGCATGAAGAAACGCGGGTTCGGGGCCGGGCTGTGGAACGGCTTTGGAGGAAAAGTGCAGCCGGGGGAGAGCATCGAGGATGCGGCGCGCAGGTGAGGCCCGGCCCTGGGAGAGGGGCGGAGGGAGCTGGGCGCTCCTGCGGCTCCGTAGCAGCCCCGTAAGCGCCGTGCCGCGCGCAGGAGTGGTCCGTAACGGCGGTGCTGAGCCGCCTGTGTGCAGGAAGGAGCGCGGCACGGACGTGTGAAGGAGCAGCGCGGCTCCCCATCACTTGGCTGCTGCAAACCTCCGAGCGTCTTCCAATCCACGAGTAACCGCAGCTCGCGAGCATCCTGCTGCCGCCCTCCCGGCCCACTGGCGCCTATTGCTCGAGCAGAGGCTCTTGCGATGTTCCTGTAGGTGCGCCGTTCTCCTTTGGCCGTATAGCGGCGTTGCAGCTTATGGCAGCGGGCTGCTGCTGCCTTAAAGATGCTGAATTCCACTTATAGTACTCTGTGAGTAGAACTTCGTGACAGAATACTAGACATTTCACTTGGAGGTGCACTGTAGAAACTGTTTCACTGCATGCGGGCACTGAATTCAGGAATAGAATTCTGCCACTCCAGGGTTTGGACAGCAGTGGTTCACTGCAGGACTTTCTTCATTTTAGTCACTGAAATGAAACAGCAGATTCTACCTTTTTGTTCACACGAGCTTTGCAGATACAAAGCCGTGCTTTGCTACCTCCTTGATCTATCCCCAAATTTACCTTTGCACCTGCAGGAAGTTTAGTGTTGCTCTACAGATTGCTAACAGCTTTCGCACTGATCGGTTTCCTCAGCTGTGTCAGTGCAACCGCCGGGGCTGTGTGGTGAGTGAGCTCATCAGGGGAAAAGAGGCCTCTTCTCCCCTGATCTGCGTGCAGCGGAGCACCAGGTTAATGTAGCTGGTGCTTACATCGTGTCTGTATGTACAATTTATCATCCCCGAATGGATGGTGGGAGAATGACTACTTAAATCAGGCCTTCGTTTGCTCATGTCATCAATGAGTATGGTGTGAAACGACTTGATTAATTCAGAATTTGATTTCTCACACGTGTATTTATCTGTGCTGGCTTGGGGTTAAAAACTGGAGCTGTAATTCCCACGAGATGCCATGTGGTGGATGTTCCAGCAATCTCAGTGCAATGTGACACAGCAGAAACAACGCCTGCTGCTGCAGACTGTGACACAGTCCACTCTGCAGCCGTTTCATATCATAGAACTTCATATCGTAGAATCACAAGGTTGGAAACAACCTGTTTCTTCACAGCTCATTGGAATTGAGTGCAGAATATACCTCTGACTCCTGCTCAGATCAGCTGAGGAGAAAGCAGTCGCCAGAGGCAGGGCCAGCTGGGCACACTGCCCTCCTTCCTGACTGGGAGCTGCACCAGCACAGGGCTGCCGGCCCTGGGACAAGTGTGGGTTCAGCTCTCCTCCAGGAGGTGTCGTGCAGCCCGAGTAAAACTTCACCACAGCACTCTGCTCTGTGGCAGGATTTGAGGTGTTAGGCTGTGGTTGCCTCAGCTGGCGTTGCAGTGGTGTAACCTGAAGTTAATCTTTATAGACTGGACTGCTAGGTATTAAGCTGCAATGTGAACAGAGTTCCCTGAATGATCACTGTGCTCCACCGAGTCCATCATGTTCCCACGGGCAGCTGGGCAGTCACAGCTGTTGAGTCACATCTTGTAAGGAAAGCTTGCAGCTAGTGCCATTTCTCCAGTTTTCTATCCACTGTAATGTTTCTATTTACTATATCCAGAGCCCAACAGCTCACAGATATATTATTGAATAAACCACAGCAGTGTTTTGCTTATTGGACCTTTACCACAGCCTGTGAAACGAGGCTTTATATTTCTTTTTTCTTTTGTGATAGCCCATTTTTAAGTAACCTCAGGAAATACCATCCTCTTGCATGGAATGTAAGCCCTCCAGGTCATCTTTGTTGGTGAATCCTCCCCCTCTAACAGAGTACTTTCCCACTGCCCTCTATTGCACACTGAGCAACTCATGAGTCAGTCTGACATTGCTCCAGTCTGGTGCCAGTGGGCTACACAGTGTGATGTGAGCCAGAGCTCTGCTTTGTTGCAGGCACAGGATGAGTTCTGAATGTAGTGTAAAGTGAATGGCTACTTTTTGTTCTCCCACTGCTTGCCTGTATAAAAACGCCTGTTTTTTCTATAGGGAGCTCCTGGAAGAGAGTGGGCTGACTGTGGACACCTTGCAGAAGATGGGCCAGATCACTTTTGAATTTATAGGCAACGCTGAACTGAT